CCGCCTGCTGTCCGGGCCGCCGGTGGCCGGCGCTTGGCACGGCGGGCTCCGAGCCGCCCGGGCCGCTGTGGCGTCTGCTACTGGTGGGGTTGTGTGCTGGGGTCCTGGGGAATGTTAGCGCCCCGGGGACGGCCTTCCCAGGCCGTCTGGGACCAGACGCTGGATCCTGAGCGGGGCAGGCGATGAGGCTGGAGCGCCCCCCTGGTCCCCGGATGGCCGGGCCTCTGGTCCTGGTGGGCCAGACAGTGACACGCTGGACTTGCGGTTGTAGTTCATGGCCGCTCAGTGCTGCGGATTGGTGAGGACAGTGATTCGGGATCTGCCCCAGGATTCACCTTTGCTGCAGGTGGGGAACCTGCCCGTCCCCACCCCCGTTCCCCGGAAGGAAGGACGGACGGCAGCCAGTCAGAGCCTTTTTCACCGACTGCCCTTCCAAGCCTGCCTCACTGTGGCCGGAGCCTCCACAAAGGGTCGCACGGTGGAGAAGGGTCCTCAACCCTTCTAGGAAGCTCTCTGCCACCTACTAGAGCGTCACCGATTTTGCATCCGCCAGCCGCTTTTAGCTGGCCTTCCAGTTATGAAGGGCCACCAGATCAAAGCCCTTCTGCAGTCAAATCCAAAACGTCCTACTGCTGTTGAGAAACACCCTGATTTAAGAGACTGTGCCCTGACCTTGCTCTGGAGTCCAGCGTTGCTGTAACAGCTGCAGTCTCTTCCTCTGAAAGGCTGGGCAGGGCCTGCAGGGGGAGCAGGTGCTGGTGCTGACATGAGGTTGCGCTGTCTTGACCCCACCCGGCCCCGGCCCCGGCCCCCTGGTTTGAGGGCCTAGGGTACTCATCTCTCCTGAGGTTCTAGAAGAGGGACTGGCTGCATCTTCTGCCATCGCTGTTTGGGGTGCTTAGTTCAGGACCATTCAGCACCCACATGGCGCTAACTCTCCCAGAAGATGGTTTTGATTCCTTGGCAGGCTGGAGACTGCAGTGTAGCTGAAAAGAATCAGACAGGGCCTGGTCTCTGCTTCATGTGGAAGTCCTGAAGGAGTAAGAGAAATTCCTTCCCTGTCCTGGGGTGTTGGGCAACTGGTCTGCCCCAGGTAACCCATAGGGGTGGTGAGCAGCAGAGCTGGGGCCAGCCCAAGATCTGGACTTAGAGTGGGGACTTATGCCGGGCTGCTTGCCCAGGCTTGCAAGCTCTGGAGAGCAGGCAGCTTCCTATGGACATATCAGTGTCCAGGGCTGGGCCCATGCCCAGAGAAGGGGCCAGGAGACAGTGGGTGCTGGGTAGGCGGCAGCCCAAATCTGCAGGAATGGGTCTGTGACCAGCACTGAGATAGCACTAAGGCAGCTCTCCTGTGGCCTGCCTGGGACAGCTCCTCCCGGGCCACCTTACCCTCACTTGCCCTGTGGTCCCACCCCCCACCCTGGGTACAGAGAAGCTCCCCTGGCCAATGAGCAGTGCATTCCCCTCTCCCTCTGGGGCCCACCCCTGAGCCCTGTGCAGAGTGGGGCCTCTGGTGCGTGGGTGTCAGGAGGAGTTGGAAGCAGCCTGGGGTGTTGAGACGAGGAAGTACTCTGGAAGCAGCTAGTTCACGACCACAGCTTCCACAACTGCGGACCCTGGGATGGGCGGTTAAAGTCTGGCC